AAGTTTCTGATGTGGATGGAAGGCCCATTTCTTCATCTTCTTCTTTTCTTCTTTTTCCTTTTTTTTTTTTTTTTGAGGGTGTGGGGGAGGGTAGTACCTGGGATTGAACCCAGGGGCACTCAACCACTGAGCCACATCCTCACCCTATTTTGTATTTTATTTACAGACAGGATCTCACTGAGTTGCTAATTGCCTTGCCATTGCTGAGGCTGGCTTTGAACTCGAGAATCTAATGTCTGAGCCTCCCGAGCTGCTGGTGTTACAGATATGAACCATGGAACTTGGCTTGGAAGGTTCATTTCTGTAGGCTGGCCCCTGGCCTCATGTTGAGCAGGGGAGTAGTTCCTTTTGCTGGGGCCTGTTCCCACCTCAATGCAAACTTGGCCACCAGCAGGGCAGAATGGAAGGAAAGTAGGACTGGGACAATCACTGGGGCAGCCTGGAGTTCCACACTCACACCTGGGGCAGAAAACACAGCTGTTTTAGCTGCCTCTGGAAGTGCAACCCATGGCAGGCCCCAAGGAAGAGACTCAAGTAGGAATTTCCCCCTGCAAACCCACCAAGCCCTGCCCACAGGGCAGTCTGACTGCTTCCCATGCTCCATCCATGGCTGCTGCCCTGGCCAAGGCCCTTGCCTATGTTCTACACACTCCTGCACAACTCCCTGCCTGTGGAAACATTCAGACATGGATATCCAATAGAGAAATGGACATACACTTCAGGTGCTCAGGGCAATGAACAGAACCCAATACAGACAGATTGATATAAAGAGCTGCCCAGTGACCCCGAAGCTTGTATACAGAGGCACGGACAGGCCAGTCCAGGAACACAGGTGGTAACAGATGGGCTCACCAGAGAGCCACCTCTTCCACTCACTCCCAGGCAGGTGCCTACATGCCTTCATACACGTACACATGTACCCATTCATCCTCACTTGCACACATGCATGTCTGTTCACTTCCCAGGCTCTGAGGAGAGCAGGGCTTGTCAGGGCATCTGCCCAGAGGAATGTTTCCACGCCTAGGACTGAAGCCCCTTAGAGAACCACCAACTACAGGACCAAGTTACAGTCTGTGTGCCTGTCCCAACCCCTGCTCCCAGAAAGAAGTAGTCCTATTGTACAAGATGCAGGTGGTGGAGGTGCCAGACACTCTCAGGGAGCCCGAGGGGATCCCTCTAAGCCCAGTAGGGTTGGTGAGCAAGTGGATGCCTGGCTTTCTATGGGACACAGGACTCCCAAAGCCTCAGTCAGCAGGGGCAAGATTGGGGTAGGAAGCAGGGCAAAGATCAAGATGCCCTACATCCTAGGCCACTGACACTGGCAAGCATGGAACTGAGCCATCTATGGGCAAACTGTACAGCAGCCAGGGAGCTTGACAGGGGGCAAAATACTTGGTTTGGTGGATACTACCCTGGTGTCTGGGCCAGAAAAGCCCCTGCATGGTGGCTGGCCATACAGTTCACAGCTGCAGGCACCTGGCCTGGCCCTGCTCTCCCTGTATGTAGGAGGAGACACTCACCGCTGGGCTTCAGGTACTTCTTGGCATGGAGGTAGCTCTCGAGCATGCGCTCATTAAAGAGCATGTAGCCCATGGGCTCTGAGATGATGATGTCCACTTGTTCAGGGAGGGAGACCTCCTCTACCTTGCCAGGTATGACAATGATACGGTCGGTCAGGTTGTTACTCTTCACCAAAACCTGTGGGCAGGCAGGCAGGAAGGGTCACTTGGGGTTCCCTGCACCCACCTGCCTAGTGCCCTCATTGGGTCCCTTCTCAAAGGAGGGCCTCTGTCCATATACAATTACCCAACGCCTCTCAGCATCCTAACCACAGCAATGACCACTTAAGAGCTTACTGAAGCCCAGACCTCTCTCGGGGTTGCAGCATCCCTGGTCCTCCCCCATACGCTGTGAACACAGGTGCTAGTGGGTGTAGAGATGTGGATGAGTCAACTTTGCAACAGCCATCAAAGCAGGAATTGGACATCCCCCAATCCAGTGACTCCAGCACCAGGAATTTGTCCTCTGGACACAATCATACATAGGAAAAGTGATGTGTGTTTAAAAGGGCTCAGTGTGACCATATTTATGATGAAAAGATGGGGAAGAGTCAATGGCACAAGAGACCAAATGTGGGTTCCTATATAGCAGTCTGCCCACACACAGTGATGCTCTGCAGCTATACAAAGAGCAAGAACGTTAATTCCATAAGGACAAAAACAATCCCAGATCTACTCTAAAAGGTAAAGAAAGGAGCAAGGCGATGGTGTGTCTCCATTTGCACAAGAAATGGGAAGAAGGAGTAGAAACACATGCTTGCTTCCATCTCCACAGAACAGCTCTATAAAGATCTAGAAGGTATCTTTCTCTCCAGTGGGTGGAGGTTGGTGCTCAACTAGAGTAGTCCAGGTATGTGTCTCAGAAGTTCCACCAGGGTCTATGTGACTTCATGGCCCAGCCCCAGAAGCATGAAGCCATCTAGCCTCTGTAGGCCCCAAACCAGCCTTTGGATGGATGACTAGTTTCATGGAGGAAAGACTACCTCAGGCCCAGCAAGCCCCTCCCATCCACAACCACCTGGTCTTAAGGACAAAGCACAGAAGGGATATATCCTCAGGTCCTCTGGACCCAGGGGTCAGGTCTCCTGAGAGTTCCTAGCAGGCAGAGATGAAGGCTAACCATGGGGTATAGCCAGGATACCAGGGGACACTGACCTCAGCATGCTGGGCCATGGTGCTCGCCTCCACTGCATAGATTTTCCTGGCTCCAGCTTGGGCAGCGAAAAATGACAGGATCCCAGAGCCACATCCAACATCAAGAACGATCTGAAGAAATGACACATGTCTGAGGTGGTGGACATGCCAGTCACCCTGACCTAATCATATATTATAACATGTACTGAAATGCAACGCTGCACCCACGAATATGCAATTACTATGTGTCACTTTAATTATTATTATTATTATTATTTTTTTGGTACCAGGGATTAAACCCAGGGGCACTCAACCATTGAGCCACATCCCCAACCCTTTTTACTTTATTTGTTCTTGTTAGCTTTAATACTAAACATACATGGAATATACCTTCCCTTTCTCATGATTGTACATGAGGTGGAGTTACACTGGGCATGCATTCATAAATGAACGTAGGAAAGTGATATCCAATTCATTCTACTGTCTTTCCTTATTATATATTTTTTAAAATATTTTAATTTTTTAGTTGTAATGTATGTTATTTATTTATTTTTATGTGGTGCTGAAGATCAAACCCAGGGCCTCGCACGTGCTAGGCAAGCGCTCTACCACTGAGCCACAACCCCAGCCCTCCTTAGTATATTTTATCTTGAGAAAGGGTCTTGCTAAGTTGCTCAGGCTAGCTTTAAACTTTTCATCCTCCTGCCTCAGCCTTCTGGGCTGGGGTTACAGGTATGTGCCGCTGAGCCCAACTGAAATATATTTTTAAATATAGGCACAGGCCTATAATCCCAACTACCCAGAAGACTGAGGCAGGAGACTCACAAGTTCAAGGCCAGCCTGAGCAACTTAGAAAGACTCTATCTTAAAAAAAAAAAAAGGAATAAAGAACAATCTGGTAAGAAGCAGAGGTTAGCTACTGGACGAAAGATGCATGTCACCAGAACTCACTCCCTGTGTCCAGTCATGGGGCACAGAGAGGCACAATTACCTGTTCGGAGATGTTGATGGGTAGAGCCAGAACTTACACCAGATCTGCCCTCACTATGAGTATCTGCCCTTCACAGGCTCTGAGTACAAATGAAATTAGAGCTAAAGGTGGCTGAAGGAGCCATGGTCTAGGCTTCTGGGAGAAGACTCCAGAGGCTCCCACTCAGGGAGCCATCTAGGTCATGAACCTACTTACAGTCTGTGTGCCTGTCCCAACCCCTAGGCCGTGGGCCTCCCTGGAAACCTGGGCAGCACTAACAGTAACCTCTGAGACCTTTGCAGCCCTTGCGGGAAGGGAAAGGGCCTGGGAGTACTGGAGGTAGCATCTCCTGGCTCCACGCTGACTCCGGCCCCAAGAAGCAGCCAGTTCATTGGTGGGGGCAGATCAAGTCCTGAGCGCTACAGCCCAATGGGTTCTCCCAATGTCCCACACACTGACTCTTGGCAGAGTCCATGCCAGGGTATTCTTGATTTTTGTGGCTGCTTCTGCCTGAGTAGAATAAGGACTTATGTTTCTGAGGTGATGTGTAAGTTTCCTGGGGAAAAATACACTTGGCATGGTGATGGACCCAGAGAAAGTGCCCAGGGGAGAACCTTGGTGCCTCCTGGAGCCCTGGAGGAACCAACAAATGGATCTCAGTCCTGGGAGAGTCAGAAGGGATATCACCAAAAAATGCATGGACTTTCAAGGCCCCAAGCACTGCTTTAGCACAGCTCAGGCCAGCAACTAGGAAAACACTCAGAATGGCTCATCGAGAAGCCAGCAGTCTGTGATGGCTGCCCCATCAGGATGATTCCTTCCTGGGATCCAGGCCCAGTGTCCTAGGGGATGGCTGGCAATTTCAGGAGGCATGACAAAGATGCAGATGAGGCAGATCCACACAGATCCAGGAGGAAAGCACAAGACATGCTGAGGGGAAAACAAAGGGTTCCAACTGACTCAAAAGGGAACAAAGGGGCTGGGGCTGGGGCTGGGGCTCAGTGGTAGAGCGCCTGCCTAGCATGTTTGAGGCACTTGGTTTGATCCTCAGCACCACAAATACATAGATAGATAGATAGATAGATAGATAGATAGATAGATAGATAGATAGATAAATTGTCCATCTACACCTAAAAAAAGGGGGGGGAAAATGCTGGGTATGGGATGAGAAGAAAGCATGTTTCCACTGTGAAATACACAGGTGTTCTTCAACTAATGAAGGGGTTCTGTCCCTTTAAATGGGAAATGCATTTAATACACCTGTCCCACTATACATCCCAGCTTAGCCTACCTAACCTTAAATACTCAGAATACTTCTAAGTCTACAACTGGGCACAATCATCTAACACAAAGCCTATTTTATAACAAAGTATTGATGATTTCATGTAGTTTATTGAATAATGTACTGGGGAAAAAAAATGGTTGTAACATAGTGGTAGATCACTCGCATAGCATGCACAAGGCCCTGCGTTCAAGCCCCAGCACTAGAGAAAAAAAAAGGGCTGGGTGGGGGGGAGCTAGGAAAGTGACAAGATCAATCTCAATTAAATCTTTGTGTCTAAAGAGCACGTCCCAAGGAGTTCTAGGGACCTGAAGTGCAGCATAGTGGCATTAGTTAATGGACAGTTCAGTGCACTTGGATCTGGCTCAGAAAGTAGATTGTACAAGTTTTCACTTGTGATATTTTGATATATACATCTTGGTTTTCATCCGAAGTTCCTGGCTTCGAATCCCTTTTTCCAGCAAGGCAGGCCATAAAATGAGAATTTTTCTTCCCTGTGATGGGTCAAAGAACCTCTACTCTTCCCCAGTCTGTCTGCTCTGGAGCTAGCCCTAAAGAAACTGAACCACCCTTGTTCAACAGTCAGTCATAAGACACTCCTCAATTCAGAGGGTCCAGACCCTCTGAGGGTACCCTGGGGGGAATAATGCTGACAGAGAGGCCAAGAAGAATCTGGACAGGACTGGCTGGGTTTCCGCAGCCAGTCTCTCAGCATTAGATATGCAATGAAGTCTCCACTAACACCCAGAAGGACTGGGTTCAGAAATCTTCTAGACAGTTGAACTCATGAGCTTCCTGGAATTTCCTACACACCTCGCCCCATGAAGCTTTTCATTTGTATCTTCTGTAATCCTCTATACCACACCAACAAGTGTGTTTCCCTGAGGTCTGTGATCGGCTCAAGAAGATTAACTGAACAGTGAGTGGGAGCCTAATTTAGAGCCAGTCCCTCACAAACACAGGGAAATCCACCATGCGCTGGTAACTAGCAAACTAGCATTTAAGTGTGCGTGGAGGTGCAGAGGGGTCTAAGGACTTAGCCCCCAACTTATGGGGTCTAAGGCTATCTCCTGGTAAGAGTGATAACAAATGAACCGGAATAGAGGACACCCAGCTGGTATCTGCTGCAGCAAAATGGCTAGCTTGCTGGTGGGGGAATCCCCACCTTTAGAAGTTGTTTACGGTGTGTGAGTGAAAACCAAACAAACAAAAAAAGGCACTGTTTTTCTTACACATCACTATTTCTTTAAAAAAATTTTTTTTTTGTGTGTGGTTTAGATAGAAACAATATCTTTATTTTATTTGTTTATTTTTATGTGGTGCTGCTGAGGATCGAACCCAGTGCCTCACGCATGCTAGGCAAGCATTCTGCCACTGAGCTATATAGCCCCAGCCCCACATCACTATTTTTAAAAAGTAACTAGGTGAGCAGCTCAGGAGGCTGAGACGGGAGGAACACAAGTTCAAAATCAGCCTCAGCCTTGGTGAGGCACTAAGCAACTCAGTGAGACCCTATCTCTAAATAAAATACAACATAGGGCTGGGGATATGGATCAGTGGTTGAGTAGCTGAGCACCCCTCAGTTCATTCCCCAGTACTCCCCTGCCAAAAAAATTAACTAGGTGAGGTGATGGATGTTAATTAGCTTGACTATAGTCATCATTTTATAATGAATAGGGTTTTTGTTTTTTGTTTTTTGATACTGGGGATTGAACACGGGGGCACTTAACCATTGAGCCACATACCCAGCCCTTTTTTATATTTGAGTCAGGGTCTCACTAAGTTGCTGAGGCTGGCTTTGAACTTGTGATCCTCCTGCCTCAGACTCCCAAGATGATAGGACTAAGTGTGTGTGTGGAGGTGCAGAGGGGTCTAAGGACTTAGTCCCCAACTTATGGGGACTAAGCCACACCCAGCTATGGATATGTATCTTAAAACATCACTTTAGGCATATACAACTTATCCCCCCGTGTGCTGGGAATGAACTCAGAGCCTCACATATGCTAGGCAAGCACTCACCACTGAGCTACACCCCAGCCCAGCATATACAGTTTTATTTGTCAATCATACCTGAATAAAGGGGGAGGGGATAGAATGTTTTAAGCCATATCATTAAGCAATAAAAAAGTTTTCTAGCAGTAGGTAGATTACAATTTGAATTAAAAAGAAAAAAGGCTGAAATAATTCTAAAATACATGTTGATACATGTATGAGGAACATTTCAGAAGAACTCTTGTGTGTGTGTTGGGGGGTCTTGGGGATTGAATCCAGGTGTCACTCTACCATGGGGCTACATCCCCAGCCCCTTTTCTTTTTTTTTTTTATTATTACTTTTTTTATTTTTAGTTGTACATGGACATAATACCTTTATTTTATTTATTTTTATGTGGTGTTGAGGATCGAATTCAGAGTCTCACATGTGCTAGGCAAGTGCTTTACCACTAAGCCACAACCCCAGCCCTTCTTTTTGATTTTGAGACAGGGTCTAAGTTGCCCAAGTTGGCCTTGAACTTGGTATCCTCCTGCCTTAGCCTCCCAAGTCACTGGGATGACAGGTATATGCCACCACATCCAACTTGGAAAAAGAGACCCTAAACAGTTTGAAGGGAGATGATAGAGGCCTTTCATGCCAATACTGTACATATGTATTGTATTTATACATTTGATTTCACTTTTATAATCGAAAAAAATTTAAGATAAAATTAGTAAGCTAAAAATAATAAAGAAAAATTAGAGGCAATATAAATAGGGAGGTGGGCCTAGGGCCCGAGGAAACGGACATATGGAGAGGGAGACAGGCTACTGCTCCTCTCAGCCTGTGTAGGCACCCACCAGCCTCCCTTCTGCTTCACACACTATCTCGCCCAGAGGAAGTAGAGGTCAGCAGCCACTCACCTTGTCCTTGAAGTCAGTGTGGTTCTGCAGGATTGCACGCTGGTAAGTGCCTGTCCGCACATAGTCCTGCATCATGTTCTGCTGCTGTGACAGGTAGCCATAAAACTGGAATAGAGATATACCAATGACAAAGGGCACATAGCATGATAGATGGTCAAGGCCCTGGCCAGCCTTGTGACAGAGTGACAGGCCCTTTCAGGCATAAACTTCCTCTAGGAGGCTGTATACCCTCAGCTGGCCTGGACCTGCTGATACCCGCCAGATGCTCCAGAAAGACGGGGAGGGGCCCAAAGGGAAGCCCCCAGGAAGGACACCATCACCATCACCATGGCAAAAGGACACAACAGACTTGGGAGCTACCCAGAAAACTGCAAGATGTGCCTGGGAGGGTTCTGATATCAGGGGCCATGTGCCCCATCTTAGGGACTCCAAAGAAGAGGAGCAGGTGGAACAGAATGCTAGAGCTCAGAGTGCTAGGCAGATGAGGTGCAGTGTCTCTCTGTGAGACAACAGGAAGGCAGTGTGGCACCTGGGCAAGGCCTCAGGCTTTGGCATCAGTCAGACCTGGCTTCTCATCTTGGCTCTGTGGCATAAGAATAACTTACTTAACCTCTCTGAGCCTCAGTTTTCTCATTTGTAAAATGGGGACAATAATAGCACTTACCTCCTCTAGTTGTTGGGAGGGTCTGAGTGTTTCTGGGCATGTATAGATACTTAGACTGGGAGCTGGGGTTGTGGCTCAGCAGTAGAGCACTCGTCTAGCATGTGCAGGGTGCTGGGTTCAATCCTCAACACCACATAAAAATAAATAAAATAAAGCACTATGTCCAACTACAACTAAAAAAATATTTAAAAAAACAAAACATCAAACAAACAAAAAAACCCAACGATACTTAGACTGTGCCTTGATCACACAGAGGTTTTAGGACATTGCAAGCATTCTATTATTATTCAAAACACCTGGGAACCTGGGGTTCACGCACACTCAGATCCTTCCAGCAATCCTCTCAGGCCTCACAGATGAGGAAACTGAGGCCCAGCAAACAGAGGATACCTGCCCAAGATTACATGGCTAGTAGGGGACAGAGCCAGTATGTGAACACTCAGGGGCTTGCCCTGTGCTACATTGCTTCCCATGGTTCAGAAAGATAGGACAGGGCCACTCAGCAGAGGTGGCCTGGCCCAGAATGGGCGCCAACCTACCTGAAAGTACTGCACAGCTGAGGACTCCTCCGTCCGCTCGCTGAATACCGACCGTTCCAGGGTGTGCCCCCGACAGGTTTTCAGGATGTTGTAGAAAGAACAGAAATCTGAAATGGGGAAGCTAAGTCACAAGGGGGTTGCAAACAACCCATCCCAGAAGGCTGTGCACTCAGCCATTTGAGGGGTTCTGAATGAGCCATGGCTGACTTTCTGTCAGGATGCATGACATATTTTTTTTTGTATAGGAATTGAACCCAGTGGTGCTCTACCACTAAGTCACATTCCCAGCCTTTTTAATTTTTTTAAATTTTGAGACAGGGTCTTGCTAAGTTGCCTAAGCTGCCTTATTAAACTTACAATCTTCCTGCATCAGTCTTCCCCATTACTGGGATCACAGGTGTGTGCCACTCCACCTGGCTCCACCATCTGACTTTTGTACCTTGAACTGTGATTTGATGATTTCTTTTCTACCTGAATAATGTACAAGTGTAAAAGAAAAGAAGAGCCTGGCACAGGCACACACACCTGGAATCTCAAGTTACTTGGGAGGCTAAAACAGGAGGATCACAAGTTAAAAGGCCAACTTGAGCAAGACCCTGTTTCAAAATAAAATATAAAAATGGCTGGGAATATAGCTCAGTGGTACAATGCTTGCCTAGCATGTGTGAGGCCCTGGGTTTGATCCTCAGCACCACACACACAATTAAAAAAAGAAAAAGGAGCAAATCAACTAAAAATACCACTTGGTGACCACCATGAGGAGATAGCGGGGTTGCCAGCACCGAGAATGGATCTGGGCATTTCCTATCAAGAAAGCAGCTTGGTGAAGCTTTCAAAGGCATAGGCCACTGACCTCAGTGTCACATCTCCAGCAAGCAACCCCACATCCACCCAGGAGCTGATGGCAGTGTCTACATGTGGCAGTTGGCACAAGAGACACCACTTTGATGCCCAATAAAGTAGATAAATTCCGTGGACCCAGAGAAGCACAGTAGAGAACCTGTCACCACCCTCCCTCCCTGGGTGTGATGTTCTATAGTCCTTTAAAATGAATTTATCAAGTGTAGTGGCAGAGCACTTGCCTAGCCTGCATGAGGGCCTGGGTTCTAGCCCCAGTCCCATCTAAATAAATAAATATATCTACAAACAAAAGTTATTGATACAGAAGTAGAAAAATTACCACTAAATTTTATCAAACAGAAAAATACAAGAGAGAACATATTTATAAAACATCTTTTTTTGGAGGTACTGGGATTGAATCCAGGAACACTTTACCGCTGAACTATATAAATCCCCAGCCTTTTTAATTTTGATACAGGTCTCGTTAAGTTGTAGATGCTGCCCTTGAACTAGCCATCCTCCTGCCTCAACTTCCCAAGTCACTGAAATTACAGGCATGCACCATTGTACTTGATTTATAAAACCATTTCTTAAAAAATTTAAATACATGGGCTGGGGTTGTGGCTCAGTGTGAGGTACTGCCTAGCATGTGTAAGGTACTGGGTTCGATCCTCAGCACCACATAAAAATAAATAAATAAACAAAATAAAGGTATTGGGTCCATCTACAACTAAAAATAAAATAAAATACAGCCAGGTGTGTGGCACATTCCTGAAATCCCAGCAGCCCATAAGGCTGAGGCAGGAGGATTGTGAGTTCAAAGCCAGCCTCAGCAACATAGCAAGGCCCTAAGCAACTCAGTGAGGCCCTAAGCAACTTAGCGAGACCTTGTCCAAAATAAAAAAGAAAAGGGCTGGGGATGTGGATCCATGGTTAAAATGCCCCTGAGTTCAATCCCTGGTACCAAAACAAAAAAACAAATAAATAAATAAATAGGGGCTGGGAGTGGTAGCTCAGTGGTAGAGCGCTTGCCTCGCACGTGTGAGGTACTGAGTTCAATCCTCAGCAGCACATAAAAACACATAAAAACAAATAAATAAATAAATAAATAGGGGCTGGGTGGTAAGCTTAGTGGTAGAGCACTTGCCTAGCATGTGTGAAGCACTGGGTTCAATTCTTAGAACCACATAAAAAAAAATAAAATAAAGGTCTATCAACAACTAAACATATATTTTTAAAAAATAAAAATATTTTTTTAAAAAATTAAATAAATGAAATACACAGTGTGAAGCTGGGCACAATGGTGCATCTTGTAGTCGCAGCTACTTAGGAGTCTTAGAGAAGAGGATCATTTGAGCCCAGGAGTTTGGGGCCAGCCAGGGCAACATAGTGAGACCCCAACTTCTAAAAAAGAACAACAACAACAAAAATAGTTTGGAAAGATGAGAAAATTCTGGAGACATAATAGTCATAGTTACACAACAATGTAAATGTACTTAATGCCGCTGACCTACATATTTAAAAAGGGTTAAAATGATCAATTTTTGTTATGTATATTTTACAATTTTAATAATCCTAGCTAGAACTGAAAGAACCACTTTGGAATATAGTCATACAAGGGGACTGAGATGTAGCACCAAGCTGGAATTATTTTTGACAGTGGTGGAACACTGGCTGGGATGGACAGACCACTATTTCACTTGACTCCAGGCCCCCCACCCACCATGGCATGGACACGTACCGCTCGGTGTGGCGAACTGGATGAGAACACTGTTGCAGCCCAGGGTGATGATGAAGGACTGCTTGCCCACGCGGCTGCACTCTGTCTCTCGGGACACTGAGCACTTAAACACACACACATCTTCATCTGCAAGAGAGAGAAGCTGGTATGAGCAACAACACCCTGTGGGCTTCCTTTGTTTGATTTTGTGTCCCTGCCACCTTCCCACTCTGTCTTCCCAACCTGGAAGTGCTGCCAGGTGCCCTGCCAGTCCAGCCCACAGTGAGGATGAGCTGGACCCAATCAGGAAGGAGAACACAGCCTGTGCCCTCCAGGACTGTGTCAAGTGGGAGAAGAAGCAGGCATCCACAGGGGAAGGGCCTGGGTACCAAGAGAAGCATCCTGACCCCGTGAGGGCTGACGGCCACTTGGCAGGGGCTCCTCCATGAGAAGACATAGTAAGGCACAACGAGAGCAAGGTTATGGGGTCATTAAAACCTGGCAGGGTGCCCTGGACTCAGCTGACCAAGAGAGTTTTCATTCAGATCCTGAGGGGTCACTGGCCTTCAATACCTTCACAGCCATCAGCCTGGAAATGCTCTGCCCACCCTGCTGAACCCTTTCAGGCTGTGGTATAGTCATTGTGAGTCATTGTGGAGCCAGACCTCCTGGGTTTATGCCCCACCCACACCTCTTAGTGTGATACGGGCAGATCACTTAGCTTCTCAAAGCCTCAATTTTCTCATCTGTCAAATGGGGCTGATGGGGTGGGGTTATTATGTGTCCTTAGAGGGTGCAGCACAGAGGAAGCACCACATTCCATGTCCATCAACACTGCTACCATTCTACAAATGAGCAGTGTGCCCCCACCTTGGCCAAAGGATGAAACTCAGTGTCTTCAGGAGCAGAACTGACCAATCGAATGACACTGTATTCCTGCCATGTTGTAGCAGGATAGCCAGTGCCTGTGTAGTATTGTTCCATCACAAGGGGACAACAGAGTATGTCAGATCGTGGCACAGTCTGCAAGAGAACCAGTCTGGTATCCCCAAACAACCCATGTCAAGAGAGAGAAAAACTGCTGGGGGCTATTCCGAGTGAAGGAGACTCAAGAGTGGAGGATAAAAAATGCCAAGTGGATCCTGAACTGGGGCCGAGCAAAAGGTTCTTTAAAAACCTATAGGTAACCAGGCACGGTGGTGCACGCCTGAATCCCAGCAGCTCTGGAGGTTGAGACAGGAGGATCACGAGTTTAAGGCCAGCCTCAGCAACGAGGAGGTGCTAAGTAACTCAGTGAAATACTGTCTCTAATAAAATAAAAAATAGGACTGGGGATGTGATTCTGTAGTTGAGTGCCCCTGAGTTCAATTCCTGGTACCCACCCCTGCAAAAAAAAATTGTAAACAACCACTGGGGAAATGCAAGCATGGACTGTATGTGCAACAGTCTGAAATTATCTGGATATGACAATGGCACTGTGGTTTTCAGAGGAATGCCCTTATTAGAAGATACATGCAGAAGTGTTTAGAGTGAATTTGTGTGATGTCTTGCAGCTTGCTTTCAAATGGCTCATCAATAATAACTAAATTTACAGAGTGCTGGTGTTGTCAAAGAAAATGTTTCCAAATGGGGTACAGTAGCACATGCCTGTAATCCCAGCTACAAGGGGGACTGAGGCAGGAAGATCACCAGGTTCAAGGCCAGCCCTGTGAGACCCTGTCTAAAATAAAACTAAAAGGGCTGGGAATGTGGCCCAGTGTTAAAGTGGTTGTCTAGCACTAGTGAGGCTTTGGGTTTAATCCCTGGTATTGGGGGAAAAAATGTTTCTAATCACCCCCAGTAGCCAAAATAATGTTGAAAAACAATAACAAAGTTGCAGAATTGACACTTTCCAATTTCAAAACACACTACACAAAGGTACAGTAATCAGTGTACTACTTGCAAAAGAACACACATAAATCAGTGGAATAGACTTAAACTCCTTCCACTTATGGCCAGTTGATTTTAGATCAGGGTGCCAAGAACATTTAAAGGAGAAAGAAGTTTCATCAACAAAGGGTGCTCTGACAACAGGGTATCCACTTGGGAAAAAATGACACTGGATCCTTACCTCATGCCATACCAAAAACTAACGAGCTCAGGATTTATATCAGTGATAGAGCACTTACCTAGCACATACAAGGCCCTGAGTTTGATTCCTAGCACTGGGGGAAAACAAAGAAAACCTCAAAATGCATCAATAACCTAAATATAAGAGCTAAAACTATTAACACTGTTAGAAAAAAAACACAGGAGTAAATCTTTATGGCCTTCAATTTAGCAGTGGATTCCTGGGTATGAAACTGCTGTAGTTTGGACCTGGAAGCCCAAAGGCTCATTATATCTTTAAGGCTTGATCCCTAACGCAGTAATATTTATAGGGAGGGCTTTTGGGGAGTGAATGGATCACAAGGACTCTCATCTGATCAATGGATTAATCCATTGAGAGGTTAGTAATCGAATGAACTATAGGAAGGTGGCAGAAACTATAGAGGAAGGGGCCTAGTGGGAAGAAAGAGGTCACTGGGGGCATGTCTTTCCAGGGCATATCTTGTCCCCTTATTCTCTCTGCTTCCTGGCTGCCATGAAGTGAACGGCTTTCCTCCATCATGCCTCAGGCCCAAAGCAATGAAGCCAGATGACCCAGACTGAAACCTCTGAAAAAATAAACCAAAATAAATCTTTCCTCCTTTATGTTGTTTTTCTCAGGTATTCTATGAAAATCTCACACACACACACACACACACACCCAAAAAAAAAAAAAAAAACCTAACACATAAATCAAAATGAAAGTAATGAAAGAAAATCAAAATGAGCAATGAAAGGAAAAGATGTAAATTGGATTATATCAAATTTACAAACACTTGGGTTCTGAGGGTATATAGCTTAGTGGTAGAACCCTTGCCTACCATATGTAAGGCCCTAGGTTTGATTTCCCAACACTACAAAACAAACAAACAAGCCAGGCACGGTGATGTGGCTCAGTGGCTCAGTAGTCAAGTGCCTGAGTTCAATCCACGGTACCAAAAAAAAAAAAAAATACAAGCATATTATTCACAGCCACTTAAAGAATAAAATAGACTATAACTTGACCAAGTGTTGAGACCTGCTACAACCTGGAAGAATCTTAAAAATATTATGCTCAGTGAAAGAAGATCACAACAAGGAAATTCATAGAGACAGCAGACTGGGGTTGCTAGGCACTGCAAGAAGGCAGGAATGGGGAGCAAGTGCTTAACGGGTGTGGGGTTTCCTTTTGGAGGAAAATGTTTGAAATGCATGAAAATGTTTGGCAGCTAGACACAGGTCACAGTTACACAACACTGTGAATACACTAAATGCCACTGAATTGTACACTTTAAAATGGTTTATTTTAGCCAGGTGTGGAGACAGAAGTCTGTAATCCCAGAGATTCCAGAGGCTGAAGCAGGAGGATTGCAAATTCAAACAGCCTGGGGTAACCTAGCAAGACCCCCAGCAACTTAGCAAGACTGCCTCAAAATGAAAAAACGTGTTGGAGATGTGTCACAGCATTCCTGCCCCAGAGTTCAAGCCCCAGTACATAAATGAATAAAAGAAAAAAAGAAAGCAAAGGAAGAAAGGGAGGGAGGGAGGTTCATTTTAGGTTATGGGAGTTCTACTTCCATAGAAAAAGAGAAATGTTACCAATTGAAGATTCCAGATCTGTGACTGGACTCAAGAGCCCACAGGTACTCACAGGCCCTTGCTCTAGGTTGCTGTTATGTAGCCTGAGCAATGGAAAGGGCTAGGAGAAGGGCTCCCCACACTCCGGGCCCTGCCACACTCCCTCCCATAAGCAGAATGGAAGAGGGTATGGATCAGCCACTGCCGGCTCTGGTCCCACTATAGCCACAGCAGACCCAAGACAAGGTGCTTCCAAATTCAGCTCTAAGTGGGTCCAAGGAAGGGATCTTGGCATGGTGCCTTATAAATGCCTCTCCTGAGGTGAAGATAAATCTCATCTGCCAGCTGTGCCTAGCTGACAGTAAGGAGACCCAGGGAGAGCCTCTGTTTATGAGGCAACCTGGCAACCTAACCGGTTGTCCTAGGTGCCCCTCTGCAACCTGGCGCCAGGCAGGCGACCACAGTACCTGCGGCTAAAGGACGCTTGGCTTTGGCCAGCAATAGGAGCTGGGCTTAGGCCAGGGAAGTCTGGACTGAGGGAGAGAGGACCTGTCTCCTCATAGCAGCAGCAGCTAAAGCCCATGCCAGCATTTCCTGACAAGTCACAGCTGGACCACAAGCCAGTCTCTGACACACAAGAGGCACCAGGAAAATATCTGACAAACCAACGCTCAACTGTGTCCCTCCCTGCTTTTTAAAATTTTAGTGGGGGAGGGGATTGGGGGATGGAGCTCAGTGGTACAGCACTTGCCAGGCGTGCTTGAGGTCTTGGGTTCAAGGTCCCAGCACTGTAGGGGTGGGGTGACCTTCCTTTAGGAGACACCTGAGCTCCTGAACTGGAAGTCAGGGTCCTACATGATTTGTCCCCTCGCTCACCCAGCCTCTCCCCACTGCACCCCTTCCCCAGGGCTCCACACAATCCTCCAGCTCCAAAAAGCCATATGAACAAACTGCCCCTCCTTCTCCTTTTTCCCCCCTCTGGACAACTGCATTCCTGGGCTGATACTCAGCCAATGGCCAAGGAACACCTGTGGCCAGAGAAGACCCCCCTGCCTCCTGGATGGGCCCCAGGGCAAAGACATCCTGCAAGGGCACCTCTCCTCCCCACAGGCTTTAGGGCCTGGAAGCTTTAGGGGTCTGGATCTGGCAGTGGAGTTAAGATACACACACACACACCTAGGCTCTGTTCCTCAGGAAACTCCTGGTACACTGCAAGGTTGTCAACTGCCCTCCCACTGACTGGCCATTCAGCCATCACAGTGTGAAACATGGAAGGAACAGGGCCTCAAGGGCCCTAAAGTTGAAAAGGTCTTCTGTGTCAGCTTCTAGAAACCAATCCAGAAGGCCCCACAGTTGTCACACAAACTGGATTATTTGCACACGGACTAGAGAGGTAGGGGCAATTAGGGGTGTTAGGGATGACTCAGTGGGATCTCTCAGGTGGGGTGGTTGTGCTGGGTTCC